AAGTGGATCCCCTTGTTACATGCGTACTAGTGTAACTATACAAGTTTACTTTGGTTCATTAATCTACCTATGTCTGCTTTTTCTGCTTTCTGTGACCACTCTGTGCCCTTGGTTCTTGGCAAATTCCCTGGTGTTCTTTCCTGTATCACAGTACTGGCACTGATATGCTGCATACTGTCCCAAGACTCTTATAGAAAATTTCAGAGTCACGTTGAATAATGTTTACAATAGAGCTATGCAAAGTCTTTGAAAAAAACTGCTTGCTGTCTATGCAAGCAGGTTACAAAACATCTTTCTAAATCATTGTAATGTTTCAGCTACCTCCACATACGTGTGCATGAACTATCACAATCACTTTAAAGGTATTCCTCACCTTATGACCATTCGCTTATCAATGGTTTGAATAAACAACGGTCTGAAAAATGATGTTTTATAGCTGATAAAGCATTTCCAACCATTGCAAAATGTTGCACCACATCACTGAAACCCAAGCAGGCAGCTCTTTCAGCCAGTACTTAAAAGACGAGAGCGCACCAAAATCCAGCTTGGATTTTCAGCCTCTGAGCACAGAGGCAGCACAGTAAAATAAGGAGTGCGGGGTGCCTCAGGGGGATGGGGGAGATCCTAGAAAGCTTGAAGCAAGCTGTATGTAACTATCTACTCAAAGGCTGAGAATCCTGCTTGGATTTTGGCAGTGAGGCAAGCCTGGGAAATAAACAGTACTATTTCTTGTTTGCAACGTTTTGCTTGATTAGACACACAATCTTCCCAAACAGGCTAGCTTTCAGTTAATCTCTACATTCTGTAGAAATATGCACATAGTGTTAAGAATAAAGAAAGAGCAAAATAGGCCTATACAACAAGAACCAAAAGAGGACAGTGCTCCTCATGCAGAAGGCAATTCCTTTGGTGCTAGGTTTTTAATGTTTATGGTTTTAGTAGACATATGTGTTATTTTGTTTTATTATTGATGTTTTATTTGTTGATTGGTAGCCAATCAGAGTTCAATATAAGATGGGTGAGTATAAGATATAAGAATATAATATAAGTATTATAAATGAATGAATGAATGAATGAATAATAAATAAATAAATACATAAATATTGTAGAACTTCTCAATACAGACCTTGATGTATGATTGGTCTCTTAATAACCGTTTGAAATTATGATGAACTTTAAAAAAAACTACTTACAACCTGTGCTTGAAATTATGTGGATCATATTTCTGATGCTTGGTGCTTGCATTTTCGACTGTTGCAGCATCCCATGACCATATAATTGCAATTTGCAATTTTTTTTTCTGTTTTCCAACAGAAAATGGCAAAAAATGCTCATTGGATATGCTGCATTCACTTAATAACCACATGTTCTGTTAACACTTGCTTGCGACCATCATAAAAACAGTCACAAAATTGAGTCTGGTCACGTGCTTAGTGACCACAACAACTTATGACCAAAATTACAGGCTCAATTGTGATTGTATGTTGAGGAATACCTGTATGCAAAAAGCATACAGACATCCCAATGCTTAAGGTCATCCTGTATATATTTCTTCAATAGTTTTTTCAAAGTCTGATTAGGACACTCCATTAGTTCATCTGTTTTGAGGGTAGTACAGACAGCTCTAATTCCAGATATGGCCATATCTACATACAAATGCTTCAGTAGTAGAGCTGAAAGCTTGGATCATGATCTGGCGTAGGCCCGGGGTACTTGCAGGACCATCTCCAGCCGCTCTCCCATCGTCCTGTGCGCTCTCACAGAGTTGGCCTCTTCAGGGTGCCATCGGCCAAACAATGTCGGCTGACGGCCCCCAGGAGGAGAGCGTCCTCTGTGGGAGCCCCGACCCTCTGGAATGGATTGCCCACTGAGCTCAGGACAGCCCCCGACCTTCTTTCCTTCCATCGCAAGCTGAAGACGTGGCTCTTCCGTCAACTCAACTGATCCGTTTGGGGGTACACTGTCATAATTTTAAACTGTTTTAATAGGATTGCTGATTTTAATTTTATTTCATTGTGATTTGTATTGGAAATTGTCATTTTCTAAGCTGCCTTGAGTCCCCAGGGAGAAAGGCGGCATATAAATCGCAATAATAAAATAAAATAAAATAAATCTGTCTAAATCTCATTAGGTACATCTTCTTCACTGAATGTCTTCAATTCAGTTGAGTTACTATGGTTGTTATTGTGCGCAGGGGTTTTGCCTCAGGGTATCTAGTAGCATAGTTACATAAAATCAGAATACTGTATAATGGTTCTTTTTCACTGATTTTGATAATGGTTCAACTATATCCATGGAAATTTTAGAATATAGGAGAGGAGCAATGGATCCCCCCCACCCATGGGAGCATTTGTCATGCTTCCCTTTGGGTTTTATATCCTGTCTGTCTGGATAGGATTGACAGTGAATGTCCTTATCTTTAGTTATTTCATCTAAAAGTATCTGTTTCTGTCAGCTCTTCTAAATCTCATCAGTGTTTTCTTCTTGACTGTGAGTTTTCATGTGAGTTTGAGTAAGTCTCCTCTGAAAATGGAGCATACTACTTGCTTCATTTTTTCTTCACTGCCAGGATCTCTTCTAACTTTATAAGGATTCTCATAAAAGCTACTGCCTCCTCACAGTGAAAGACCTTTTTGTTAAAGATATCTTACATCCACATCCCATTTGTGTTCTAAAGACTGGCTTCTATTTTTATCTGTCACCTAAAATCTTTCTCTTTATACGGCTACTTTACAACATCAGTGACATCTAGGTTAGATGTTAAAACTGGAGATATCTTCTATTAATTGAACCAATAAATACTTGCTTTTGCTATTTTTTAGCTTGAAGTCTGATAATGACTCTAGCTACTTTATTCTGCTTCTGTTGTTGCAGTGCAGTATCTCCAACTATTAGGTACTCATATATTAGCAAGTCAATATCAGTATCGTAATTACTTTGCATGCCAGATTTTTCATAGTATTAACAGTAACTTTCTGCTTCTGACTGTAGATCTACATCTAAACTTCAACAAATGAGACTTCTTCAATTTGTTCAAGATGGTGATGATAGACTTTAGATCAATACTATCTAGGTGCGGCCTTCTGCTTTCTATTGATTTCTATGAGTATTCATATTTCAGCTGCATTTTCTGTCCTTCTGTCCTTCATGAGCAACTATTTCTGGATTAATTTTTCTCTGCTTGACACATGCTTAAATTAAGCTTGTGGCTATCTGTGTGTATAGTTTTGTCTACATTTCCCTTCCCATTTAGAGTTAAAGATGTTAATTATTCATGATTGGCAGCTTCTCAAGTTAGCAGAGCATTTTCTTTCTTGTTCTTCCTTCAAAATACGATCCCATGATGGATGATCCCTTTGTGGTCTTTGGACCACTCTGGAATACTTCAGTGGTCTTCTATCCACTCTGGAATATTTTGATTAATTCTAGAGCAAACAAACTTCTGGTAACTCCAAAACACTTCAGTCTAACATGATTCATCACCCGTCTCATTTCATCAGCCAGTATTAACTTCCTGTCTCCCCTTTATGAGAACTGTTGTATGAAAATGTGAAACCTATTACTTTCCTAAGTAGTTCATCAAAGAACCAGAACAGTGTGGTCATACGATAGAATGGCAGTGTTCAGTTGCTACATAATTTCAGTTTTCAAGCGCCATCTTTCTTTTAAATAAAGAATTGTCTTTGAATAAAAATAACACAGTTTATTGTATTATATTACTGTTTAATCTGAAGGACAGAACATCCTGATTACAAATATATGAGATGTTAATTAATTCTAGTTTTAGGTTCATCACTGTAAAAGCATTGTTTTTATATCCAGTTTACTGACTATTGTATTTGGAATTTTTAAATTAATCAGGAACTGGGGATTGAGAATAAAGAATTTACTTCAGCCTTGATTTATGATAAGTTTTGTTATAGAATAACAATAAACTTCTCAGTGAGGGAGTGAGGACGAGCCTCAGTGGACCCTGCTAGAGCTTGGATAATTTGGGGAGTGCTAAACATGGTTTCCGTTCTTTTTCATTTTTCTGCCATTCTCTTATGACCCCACAGATTGCTGGAAGAGGAAGAGGACACAACTTATTAAGATCTTTCAGATCTTTTCTTTTTCCTGGTTCCCCTACTTCAATTGCTCCAGCTATTTCCTTTTCACCACCATGAAATTAGGCTGAAGGCTGTATACAGCCCTCAGTTGCAGGTTGCACACTTTAGTGTTTTTCCTCTTGCTCTTTTCTCAACTTTCCAGTCAGTAATATTGCAAAACATTCAAAACTTCTTGGGGTTGGCTTCACTGCTTTGTTACCTTATGATATTTCAGTCGATCTTCAGAACAATATTTGGTTTTTTCCCCCCTATTTATATGCAAGCCCTACATTACATTTTGCTACTTTTTAACAAAAATTTGGGGGGGGGACCCCAGGAAAAAAAAATACATGACACTATATCTGTTTTGTTATGGCAAGGACCACGTGGGCATCTCTCCCCCCCCCCCCGCGCCTCTTTTCTTAGTACAATAGCGGTGTTGAAGCTAACTGAGGGCGAACAAGCAGACCGAAGTTGCTTGATTTGACTTGCTAAGAGCTCTGACAGGACAAGAAGATAGACGCTGGGATTTAACTCCCCCTGCTTCTTTCTAGGCCTGGACTGTCTCGGGTTCTGTTTTAACCATTGAGGAATAACCGCCCCCTCCCTCGCCCGCCCGCCCGCTCGCCCCCATCTTTGTCCCGAATGAGTTCCTTCTGCGGGTCCTCCAACCCTTCGTTTTTGTTTTTTCTTTTCTTTTCGCCTCCTTTCTGTCTACTGTGCCAACTCTCTCCCAAGGGATGTGGGAACCTTTGTACGCTCTCGGAACCTTTGCTGTCGGTGTGCCTGTTGCTGCCCGGGGAAATCCTCCAAGTAGCTCCGACTAAGGGGACGTATTACCGTTGCGTACCCCAAGCGGAGGGATTGAGGAGCGACGAGAAGGAGGAGGAGGAGGAGGAGGTGGTGGTGGTGGTGGAGGAGGAGGCGGTGACGGCGACAACGACGAGCGTTAAACGGGGGGCCGGCGCGCACCAGGAGCGCGCGCGGAGCGCCTCAGCGCCCCCTCCCCCTCGGGCTCCCTCAGCGGCCCTGGCCCGCAGCCCCGCTAGGAGGTGAGACTAGCCCGGACTCTGGCTGGAGTCGCCAAGAGGGATGGATGGATGAGAGGAGGAAGAGATCGCGCACCAATGGAGGCGCCGTGGGAGCGGATGGGCCCAGGGGGTGGGTGGGCGGCAGAGAATGGGAAGCCCTCCGCCCCCGCCTCCCCGTGGCGCCAGAGAAAGAAGGCCAGGCATCGCATCGCGGTCGCCCTGAGAATGCATGGCCGCTGCATTGCTTCAGCCAGGCTTTGGCGTGGACACCCTGGGACGGAAAGGCCGGCACGGGGAGGTGTGGGCAAGGGGATCGGGGATCGAGAGTCTCTCTCTCTCTCTCTCTCTCTCTCGGCCGGCGGGCGGGCGTGTGGGAGGAAGCTGGATGAAACTAGTGTACAGGAAGAGCGTTCCCAGTGAATAAAGGCGCGGGATTTCTTCTCTTTAACGTTTTGCTGCCTTGAAGGCTGGGAGACTTTTAAGGGTCCTGAGGGGGAAGCGGAGCAAAGATGCGAATAAGGTTATAAAGCTTAAGTTGCTGAGTGATCGATCGTTTGTCCTCCCGAGGAGATAGGGCTATATTGCTGCAGAGAATACAAGGGTCCCTTGCCTTGTGCGGTGGCTGCTTCGAAATACTACCCGACTCTTTGGATCGTTTTAAAAAGACTTAAAATATTACAAAGTTTAATATTGAAGGTGCCAAAGTAGCACAACAATTAATTTAGACGCGCACTGTGGAAAGACTTTGGGCATAATGGTATAACTTTAGATTTGGCTGCCTGCTTTCCATTTTAATCAGTCTTGTGATAACATTTTGAAAACTTCAAAGTGAGAACACCTGGTAGTTGCTGTTTTATGTCGGTTCTGTTTAACTCACCCAATGTAACTTGCTTAAATTATAAAGGCTTTTATTTTATTTTTATGTGTAGGTAAACAAAAGTTAATATTTTATATTTTATGTTAACATATATACATCTAGGTCAATATATATATAAATTAGAATTACTCTCACTACTGAGTATTAAAGTGAAATAGACACTTCAGATGGTTAAAGTTGCATTTATTGGGCCTCCCTGGGTTGCATTTGACACAGAGAATCAGAGTTTGAAAAACTAGAAAATATGAATTAGGATAATTATGTCACATATTAAATGAAGTTATTGTAGAAAAATGTGACGATACATTGTATATTTAACTGTGTCTACTGAGGGAACAGAATCTGTCTGGAACAGATTTACCCCTAGTACACTGGTGCATCTGTTCTGGAGGATTGGATAAGAGACAGATTTTTGAAAAATGTGGTTGAAGAGAAGATCGTAATGAATTGGGCTATCGTTAAAGACTACTTGCAAGCTATAACTGGTGCAGAATGTAGTTTTTGTTTTTTGAGTTGAATTCAAGGTGCTGATGATCTATAAAGTTCTTCATGGCTTAGGATCTGGATACTTGTGAGACTACCTCTCCCTCATGGTTCCTCCCAGTCTATGAGATCTGACGGTCTTGTCAATAAAGAAGTGTCATTGATGAGGTCAAGGAGTAATGCCTTCTCTGTTGCTATGGCTGCCCTTTGGGATAGCATGCCCCTTCTCTCCCCAACCTGTCCATAGAGCTCCAATTATGTTGCTCTTTAGGACGGTCTTAAAAACCTGGCTGTTCCTCCAGCATTGGGCTGGGATGATTTGTGAACTCACAGGGTATTATGTATTTGTATCGTTGTCTTCTGTGAAGTGGGGAGACTCAATTATAGTGGTGGTAGATGTGCTGTTGAAAGGTCTGAAGGATCAGGTGGCAGATATATCCTCCTGGAGAAAATCTATCTATGTGGTCAGTAAAAGTTAACACCTACGTAATGACATGTAATCAATCATACTGTCAAGCCATTCTCCTGGCATGTCTGTTTTATTATCCTGACTCCTTACAATTTATTGTCTTGGTTTTGTTTTAATCTTCTTTGTTAGAAGCTTTGAATCAGTTGGCAATTGGGTGGCACCAGAAATTGAATTAATAAAGATTTTTTAATGCCATGACCAGAAAACTGAAGGACAATAGCATGATAGAAAGCAAAACTTGAAAAAAAGGAAGAGAGAAGGTTGATAGCCAAATGTTTGTACAGAGACTGATTGATTATGTGCCATCAAGTCATTTTTTACTTTTAGAGACTACATACATAGATTTTTTTTTCCAGATGATCTATCCTAACGTGTTATTTCAGGACTCCCAAGAGTGCACTGATCACCACTATAACTGGGTTCATCCACTGTGCTGCTGGCTGTATTTTTCTTCTCTTTCCTTCTACCTTTCCCAGCATTAAAACCTTCTCCAGAACATCTTCGTATAATGTGAGCGAAGTAGGAAAATTAGAGCCTGGTAAATTATGCCTCATGTGAGAACTGTGGACTGATTTGTCAAGAGATGTTTTATATTCTAGGGAAGGGAAATGTATATAATTGGCTTGTGTTTCTTTCATTTTTCAGTTTTATCTGAAATACAGTTTTTGCATCTTGTATATGGATTTTTAGTACATTAATAGCTTTTACATCTTTTTTAAAATTTTCCTGGAGAGCGTGAAAATTCTAATTTGAATAAGACAGAGATGTAGAGAAATGGGAAATAGGAAATAGGAGAAATGAATGTCGTTATATCTTGTACAGGAGCATGTCAGAAGTTGTTCAGAGAAGTTTGAGTTTAATAAGGCTTGACTAGGGAAAAAACGTGATACATCACATGACTGCAACGTAACGTGGTGAGTTTGACACCCATGTTTTAGAGCATCTTGAACTTCTGGAAGAAAGGCAGGATATCAGACATATTCAGTAGCATATTCTTCTATTTTTGTTGGTTATAACTTATAGGCTAGTTGTTTCAATTCTGTTAGTGAGTCTGAGTTTTCCTGGGTCTTCATCTACGTGCTTCAGCCAGGTTTTCTCTGAAGTTTATCATTTTACTTTCCAAATCAAGAGGTGTGATTATGAAAGCAATCAATAAGGAAGTTGTAGGTGAACCCATCTACCATGATTTGAAAACTTAAGTTTATTTTTTCCCCTTAGGATAGGTTTAATATTCTAAGTAAGCAAAACAAGTAAGCTACATTGTGGATTTACATTACATGTAAACCAGGTCAGCAAAGTGAATGTTCAGAATAATTAAGAGGACAGCTGAGTTTAAATTATTAATTTATGAAACAGAAATGGAAAGGAAATGTGGGAGTGTCATCCATGTGTCATATGAAATATTGGAACAGTTGTAAATCTGTATTTTGCATACATATATGAATAACCTTATTTTTCCTAAATGCTTTTAAAAGGTTTTTATTTGTATTTACCAATGTCCATGAAGCTTTACAAAATAAAATGCAGCCATCTCAGCAGGTAATAACATGCAGCGGAACCTTCTAACTTGAAAAGTAAACATATTCATCTCTAATGAATACTTGAATGGGCGACCACTTGAAAATTCTAAGGTTTTTCTGTAGTTTGAAAGATGGAAAAAATCCTACCCCAAAGAAGAATCAGTCACCAGTCTGATTCTTCATATTTTGATAAAAATACTTTCACCAAGATTAGCTGTCGGCAGCTATTCCTTTAGTTCTAAAGTTTAAGACACTTTTATTTATGTCTTCTGGTTGCTTCTTTTTTGACTGCCTTCAATTTTTCCTAGTATCAGGGGCTTCTTCACTAATATTTGCCTTTGTTTTATGTGTCTTAAACTTTAGTTTTCTTATTAGTATCTCAGGGATACATAACAAGAGAAAAGTCTGGTGTTACTTCACCTAAAATTGAATAATTTCTTCTGATCCAAGGTATTCTCCAGTTTTCCCCAGCACCGTAAGTTAAAGGCATTAATTTATTTAGCTTTTCCAATGGCCCAGCCATCTGAACCATGTGTTATAGGTGGGAAGACCATAGTCTTTAGAGTGTCAACATTGGTTGTTTATTGTTATTTTACAGTTTATTTTCAAAACCTGTCAAAAGTCTTTTTTTCCAAATAGCAGATGTCTCTTTTATTTCATGGCTGCACGTCATAATTATTTGATTGTAGGTAAGAAATATAGAAAATGCAGCGTTCCTGCTGCTTGTGACAACCAAGTGATATCTGAAATTTTGCAACTGTGATCTGGTTGCCCTAGCAGGAATCTAATCTGCAATGTAGAATTAGGGTCAATTGCATATTTTTAGAATGTTATTTTTTGAGCAATCTCCTAACATGAATAACAGGGAATTCTACTGTCCTCATTGCAAGTAACAATAAGCTTCAGTTGATGGTGTTATTTCTGTAATTTATATATGCTGGCCAACACAATACTTATTAAGGCTCTTGTTAAAGAGTTGTATTAGTTTAACTTTGAATTTGTACCAGGGGTGAAATGCTACCGGTTCGGACCGGTTCAGGAGAACCGGTAGCGATGATTGCCATCAGTTTGCCGAACCTGTAGTAATAATCCCTGGTGGCCCCGCCCCTGCCCGCCTGGTCACCACTTCTGGCTCGCTCTGGGCGCTTCCAGCTCGCTCTGGGTGCTTCTGGCCCACCCATCCCACCCCCAAACTATATAAGGAGGCTCAGCTGTGGCAGTGCTTCCCGCCTGTGAAGAAGCAAAGCAAGAGGCACAGAAGCCACCAGTGACCAGCCAGGCAGCAGGCCCCCCCGCAAGGTGAAAGGGCCAGGCCCAGCCGTGCTACCGCAGAGCCCATGGCACTTTCCCTTTGGCCTGGGCAGCGGCATTTACCCAGGCAGGCCACTGCGGGTAGTCTTTTATTTTGGCAAAGACCAAGTCGCTGAACTTGTAGTTGCGTGGCCAACCAGAGCGGGACATGGCGCGGGTGGAGAGGCTGATGCAGCCCCCGTTGAGGCCGCCCTGCCCGAGCGATCGCCATGTCTTTCCAGTGACAGGTGCGCCAGGGCTGCCTTGCCCGCTGCCTCCGTGCGCTTGGAGCTTGGCTACTCCTGCCCCGAAATAAAAGCGAACAGCGGCAGAGGGAGGGAGGACCCTTCTAAGTGCAGTGCATGGAGGTGGCGGGCAAGGC